TCAAAACCCTGCGCGGAAGCCAGGTAGTAGTCCATCGCGATGAAGTCGTACTGGACCCGGTCCTCTGGGTTGTCTGCACGGCGAAGGAACGACGGGATTGTACGGCGAGGAGCCCCAGAGGACATGTCCGAAGGAAAGCGAGTGGGAACTGCGAGTAGAAGTTGACAGGAAGATCTAGGCTCGAGCTGCAGCTTCGGGTTCGGACACAATCAGAGACAGGTGAGTGCGACAACGATCAAGCAATGCATCGTCTGGTGCTTTGCAGCGACTGCATACTTGCTTAGCAATGCTATTTCCGCTCCTTGGAACGCACATACCCACGACATGTGCACTGGGCAACCTGCTGTACTGCTGCTGCTTGGACATGTGAATGAAGTCCAGTCGAGTGACCTGTGTTTGGCAGTCATGAAGATTTGCATGGGCAGCTATCGTTAACTAGTCCAATAATACTTACAGGACCTCTTTCCATGTTGGGGACAACAAGCTGTGCAGATTCACAGGTCTCAGGGGCAGGCCTTGCCTAGTAAGCCTGGAAAGATCAGTTTGAGGAGAGTGGTGTCACGAAGCTCTTGGGTCAGGTCTTTGTTTTTGTCCGGCAAGCCAGAATGTGCGTAAAGCTGCAATGCTCCGGCCATAACGACATATTGACAGCTCTGTCGAAGCTTCACAGTTTGATGTCTTCACTATGCAGAAACTTCAATTCCCGAGGCTTTGAATCAGGTGTTTCCACATTGACTGACTGCTTGCAACGTACTACTAACTGCTATGACCTAAGACCCGCAGGACTCAGGTTTCTCCGGATTCATATATTCGAGACACCATGCATGGTATAATACATGTCTAAAACATACTATCAGATGCGGGGGGTTAGAACTCCAAAATCTGAGTTTTAAGTTGAATATGGAAAACTCAAAAAAAGTACTTCCATCCCCGCCCTACGCGCATCCCTGCCTAAGTTCCCCTCTGAGTAGTATGTGCTGGCTACCATCGCTGTTATCACACCAGTAAATATGTGGTTTTTACCGTCGCTGCTCTCGCACAATATGCTTTACTTTAAACTGTGCGTGCTAAACCCTAAAATTAATATGTGCTGGTTGTCGTCGCTGCTATCACACAATATACTCTATTATAAGCTGTGGCGTGAATGGGATCGAAGACGGCTTTTTTGATCTGAGGGAATGACTAGCTCGGCGAACTCGCGCAGCCAAGCAGTTGCTTCGGCTGAGCTCATGAGCCAACTGTTCGAGCCCTTTCTGCTGTGATTCCAAGAAAGCAGCTCCGCCTCAATACCATGTAATGCCCTTAGTCGCTCAAATCGTCCGACCCAGCATCCGAAATCGGGCCAACGGCCCAAACCTACGAACGGGAGAGGGCGCCTCTTGGCCTTTTTGGTGGTCGCAGTCTTGTGCTCCGATGTGTACATCATCCAAACGACCACTCCCTCACACGAGTCGATCTCTAGTCCATGTGCGGCACGAAAACCTCTCCATCGCCCTACTCCGAAGACACATGCACGTAGCTGACCTGTAATGAGCGAAATGTACTCCTCCTGTTCGTCGTCAGACAGTAGCTCTAGCAACTTGAGAATGACTGTCACGGGTATGGTGGGAGCTTGCATTCTGATCTTCTTCTGGACAAACATGGAGCGCGCATCCCCTCGAACTCTTGGGGAGTCCAGCTCGGACAAGGTTATCTTCAGAAAGCCAAACACGCCGTGCGAGAATTTAAGGGCTTCGAGCAATGATGATGCGGCGCTGGTGCATTGATCTTCCCTCAGCATTTGTAAGTGCTGCTAAAGCTCGTCCTCCCTCGCGCTGAAAGGCGAAGCTAGCGGTCGGTCTGCCAGGAAAGCCGCATAGCGCCAGAGAGCGCCTGATCTCTTTCATAGTGTTCCTGTAGACTTCGGGGCCAGAATGTCGGAGAGGACCTGCAATGCCCTTTGTTCATCACTGCACCTCCCGGCTCAGTCGGTTATCTGCCTCCCCGCTCGAGTGGCTAACGGATCTATGAGAGTCAAAAATTTGAAGCGTTGTGTGGTCCGGACCCTGGGCCGGCCTGAGAGTACTTGCGACAGGCTTGTAAGCACGAAGGCCACCCCCAAAGATGCTGACCCAAACGCCCTTCTCCCAGGGCATCACAAACTTCACTGGGACGGTCCGTTCTATGGCAGCGCGAACTTCCACGGGTGTACTCGACGAAGCTACCTGCACGGGGCTTTTGCGCTTGCTGGCCCGGACTTGGCTGACAACTGGCTGATCATTGACAACCGGCGAAACACAGCCTGCCTGCTCGGAGTCGACTGCCACATCAACCCACGACCCAAGTGATGTGTCTTCTTGTTCGCGTTCTACCGATTCATCGAAGACCCCTTCCTCCTGCAGAAACAGGCTGGGTGTGGAAGCCTCGTCGTCTGTTCGAGCTGTGTCGTCGTCGCCCCGATTCGGTGTCCACCCTTTCCGGAAGCCCCATTTAGTCCCGAAAGTCGAGGTTCAAGGCGATCCCTCCCAGGGTGGGGGGAAAGCAAACAATGGGCCGCCCCGGTTTGGGGACGAAAGCAAACACACCTAGGATATGCAACATGTCAAAGCGGGAGCTGCATTCACGAAACACCGCCGCAGGCCTACCGAACGTTGCGCGTCCTCCCCTGCCCCGATGACGTAGATGTGGACGGAGAGTGTCCTGACGGGGTGACAATGAACTCGAAACCCAAACCACAACCTGGCCTCAACCAGAATTTGACGTAGGCGACGGTCAGAATTCCGCCAACCCTTGAACGGGCACTTGCCCCAGGTGGCAAGTTTCTCAACACACTAAGCCACTAAGCTGGCCCTTTGAGTTGTAAGCCGGCGCTAGCAAGTCGGATCCCAGAAAACCGCGAGCACAAGGGCCCGCCTCAATCCGACCTGGCATCGTTGGCAATGCATGATCCGAGCAGCGAGCGTACTGCGCCTGGCCGGCCTGTTTTGACCCGGAATCAGCTTGCCTGACCAGGCGAAACTTCAAAAGCAAAACACCGGAGACGGCACTCCGGGAAAGCCTCGGGGTCCAGGCCACCTGAATACTGACCTGAGCACCGGAGGCCACTTGTCGTCATCCTTACCATCGAGGGCCTGCCTGAAGGACCGACTCGCGGGTAAATGCGACCTGGCTCCAGAGTGCCCGATTCGTCCGTCTAAATGCTGCGAACACCAGTGGCCGCGCAAAGCCCCGAGGACCTGCCAGCAATTGGGAAACGCCAGTGATCTGTGACAGTCTTGTTTCTTCTCATTGGGCTGGCCTTTCCGTGCCCTTCAATGACTGCCAGGCTCGCTGTATTTGCCCCCCGACGAATGCGAGACTGAGCCCAACCTCCGGAAGAACACGGGAGGGATCCCGGCCCTCCCCGCTGAACCAGACATCCCAGCTGAGCCGACGGCACTACTGACTGCAAACTGCTGCGCGAAACGAAGCAGCAAAAACACTGGCAAAACGGTTCAGAAAACACTGCAAAGGCACAAGGCTGCAGCAGTACATGGCTGAGAGTGCAAGCGATTCAGTCGGAAGAAACCTTTCCATTCCATCACGAGCAGCGGATCGTGAACCGGTTCAAAAATGCTCTCAGTAGAAGGGCTTCCTGAATTCGGCACCAGCCTGCGCAGAGAGACATGATCGAGCACGTAGGGTGGGCAGTCCTTCGCAGCGACGTAATTGTGTCGGTTACGAGGCGCCGCTTCTTGCACTCCAGGGCCTCGGCTGAACCACACGCACTGCCACGCGCAAGCGCAGACCACATTCAACTTTCCAGGAGAACCTGAGGCCCGCACAGCCTTCAAATCTTGCTCGTGTCCAACCCACTTCTCAAAAGGCATGTTGGACTTCGCCAGGAGCAAATAGGCGAGCTCATCCAGCATGCAGTGGGGGCCAGCCCTGCAGCTGCTGAAGCCGAGACTGCATGTAGTTAAGTTCAAAAGACGCGGAAAACTTAGATTGGCCTCGGCCGCGGAGCATCCAAGATGCGCAGGACGTGGTCCGCTGCGGCCGCCCCGAGAGTGATGGTCTGGCCACGGAACCAGACCATGCCGAATGTGGTGCCCTTGCAGAGTTCTTCCTTGGAAGACACTGGTCAAGTGCTACTCGGCTACTAAAAGGACATGGCAACAGACATGATTTGTGCAACCTGGCAGCAAGCACCTGTTCGGCCTGCTGTTGATTGGTGATGATGCCGCCGACGTTGAAGCCGAAAAACATCTGCTGAGCCTTAACTGTATGCTGCTGCCAGCACTTTTTGTTTGAAGCTTAGGCATGCGCACGAAAATTTCAAGCTTAGCGTGGCACGGCTTGCACGGCGGCGACCTGCACCTTCTCGGACACACGCAAGGCCTTGAGGAAGTACTCCGCGTTGTCGATGAAGTCCTCGCATCTGTAGCACTTGTGGGCATCCATCACCTGGACTCCCCAACACCAAGGGCATTGGCTAAAGTCCTGCCGCACAAATAGTATCGCATGTTGTTTCTAAAACATTTTACACCCAGCCACGGCATGAGCTAGGACCGTGAAGACCAAGGCCGCTTCGAAGTGCTGGTCCTTCTTGGTCTGTAAGGCAATTGCCGTTGCGCGGCCGCTCATGTTTGCCTGCTATGTTCCAGGGTCTTAGCACCCAACGGCGAAAGAAAGCCACAAAAACACATTTCAGGGATATCAGTGCCGAAGTCATATACAACCCGGTGACAAGCCCAAACAAGAAGTACAATTCGCTGCCAAGCGGCGACAATGCCCTTGACGCTCTTTGTGACCTGTCGCGAGCAGAACTCCACGAAACTGGCACCTTATGCGGCTGGCGCTTTGGTTAGCCAACTCAGAGCGCAGCAGTCACGCACCAGCAACAAGACACAAGTCCACGAACTGTAGGCTAGCGCCAGCAAACACGCACAAGGAAGATGCCTACATACTGGACGGTCCACGACTGCCCTTGTGCTCTGAAGTGCCCGCTACACTCGACACATGAGTTACGGCAGAGTTACCGTCCAAATCAGACAAGAGGCAACGGTCTGCGCCTGCACAAGTCGGCCACTCGGTCTCATAAGGATTGAGGCCGGTCAATGCTGTAACTGAGAGTTCCTGCATGCGCTGGAACTCACTACAAACGAAGCTCAAATTCACACAGCTCACGAATGGGTCCTCCCAGTTGTAAGCATCAACGTACGGCTGCGTGAGCTCCAAGAACGCAACGAGATCCGCTTGCTTCGCGACTTCGTTGTCATCACCGTCAATATCACCTCAGACAAGACTTATGCACTACACTGCCTCTGCCTGAACAATCAATGGTGGCACCGTTGATCAGTTGATTTAAACCAGACGAGCCACCGCCAGCCATTGCTGTGTTCAGCAAGCCCTCACGGCTGAGGAGAATGGAGTTCCGCGGCAAAGGACCATAGCCGCTGGGCGGCTCCACGCCCTCAAGACCAGGGACGAAGCAAACACGAACACATGAGCCAACAATTCTAATCCCTTGTTGCCAACCAGCACCAAGATTCAACATAACTGTTCCAGGACGCAAGCAACGCAGGGATTCAACCACAGCGTTTTATTACTAGTTGCACACCCTTCCAGCGCAGCAATTTCACACACTCTTTGTTCAAGTCCTACTCACGATTCCCCCATGGTACGTGTCTACTATCTGATATCTACATCTGCATCCAACCAGTGCTTGGCTGGATCGTCCCACCTTCTGGCCTTCTGGCACAGTGTTCCATTTTAAACTTTACATATGAAGCCAAAGACGGGGTTTAAGTGCGTTAATATAGGTAGCCAAAAAAGGCTGTAAGTAAACTGACCTGTAAAACATCGAAGCAAGAGACGGTGTTTAAGTAAATTGACATGTGAAGCCAGGGGTTTGAGTAAATTGACATACATAGCCCCAAGCGGGGTTTAAGTAAATCGATATATTTCGCCCCAAACGGAGTTTAAGTAAATTGACATGCATAGGGCCAGACGGGGTTTTAAGTAGAGTCACATACATAGGCGCAAACACCGTTATAGTAAATTATTGCGCACAGGCCCAAACGGGGTTTAAGACATACACAGTCCCAAACCGGATTCAAGTAGACTGGCATATATAGGCCCAGACGTACATGGCTCCAAGCGAAGTTTATATAGATTGACATACATAGCCTCAGGCGGGGTGTAATTGAAAGGACATATATAACCGCAAGCGGGGTTTTAGTAAATTCACAAGTATAGCCCCAAGTGGGGTTTAAACAAATTGACATATAAAGCCCGAAAGAATTTAAGTAAGTTCAGTTGCATAAGCCCAAGTTTTAAGTTTCATCACCAATTGCTGCGCTGGCGCACCTCGGCTGCGCCGCTAAAAGCCGTTCAAAACAAGGCGCAGCCTCTAAAATTTAGGGTTTAGAGGTTTAGGGTTTAGGGTTTACAGTTTAGGCTTTAGGGTTTAGGGCAGGGGAATGGCAATGCTAGCTCAAGCGCATGGCCGGGAGTCTCGGAACGGGATGTTGGTTTTGGCAAGCACTCAGAGTGCTGCAGGCCGTGTCGGGGGCTGGAAGTCATGGGAGGTCAAATTACATCAACCCTGAAACCAACTCCGGACACATGGCTTCCGGCACACTGACATATCTGCCGACCTACCACTCTCACACGGACACAGTACAGGAGATACTGTAATGTCCGACCAAAACAGGGGCTGTAACACTCGAAAAGGTTTCGCATTGCACTACACCGGTATAATTAATCTGGCTAATCACTCCGACCCCTGAATTACTGCGCGGTGCTGGAAAGGCCTCCGCAGCAGACGCGCAGCTGAGCGCCCCGTGACCGAGAGCCACGAGCAGGGACGGAAGAAAGCGGATCACCTCTCCAGGCTTTAGGGTTTAGGATGATTTCTGCTGAAAAAGATCTAGTCTCTGAAGACGGCGATTGTGGCCATGATGATAATGGTGCTGACGGCTATGCAAATGGTTGGCGGCAGACCAAAAAAGAATTCTCCGTGAAACCCCTCCAAAACCTTCTCGTGATTAGCTTGCTGAGTGAGGATTTTGAGGGGGCTTTGAACGGTGCAGGTCATGCACAACCGACACGTCACAAACGAAATGTCACGGAAGGGCATGCAAGGGATTGCGGTTTCTGGCTCATTGCTCGAGGCTTTCGAACGGACAGAAACCCCACGGCCTTTCTGCACCTACTAAGCTGCCTTGCCCACGGTGCCGTCAAGGCGAATCATCCACTCAAACCCCACCTGAACTACCCGAAACCCTCATAAGGAAACCCGAAACCCCAAAGTCTGAAACCCGAAACCCCGAAGTCAAACCCTTCAACCTATTTGGGAGCTGCCGAAATTAGGGGTACCTTATTTTTGGCTCCTTGTAATAAGGATCCTACTATTTAGGGTACTAAAGTAGGGTCCCCTATTTTCGGAAACTCCCACTTCGATCAAATATGCTCGACCCTAGTCTCTAGAAGTAAAATCCCGCTGAGCGGTCACGAACTAGTTTCGGACCGGCTCCCTTGATAAGGACCCCTAGGGATATACCCTTAATATAGCTAGTCTATACCCATGATAGAGCCCATTGTAGGGTAGACAGCCCGCAATGAAAACCAGTGCTCAAAGACTGTCGACCATGGGGCATCCCAGAGACTCCTAGGATCCCTTGCTTAAGGAGTGTACCCCCTTAAATTATAGTAGGATCCCTGTATATGAATTAAGGTATGTTCCTTTTTAAACCCTAAACCCTATAGATCCCTTTAAGGATCCCTTTAAAGGAACCCTAAGGTATGTTCCTTAATTAAGGGATCCTAGGAGTCTCTGGGATCTTGAGAAAGTGGGGGAGCTGGGAGAAGGAGGGCAGGGGGGCTTGACGAATCAAACAACACTCGAAATGCTTAAGACTAGATGGTTAGTTGTCAAAATTAAGGTCCTTTTTAGAGGCCCAACAACGGACCATAATTTTGACAACCACCCAGATGTAGCCCCAACTTTTAGGGACAAACAAGCTTGCCTTCCCTGAATCTAGACCAGCTTTTCTTTCATGGAACTACTCCAAAAAAGAAATCGTCAGCCTACTTTTGGCACCAGCTTCGGGCTACCAAAGCGAGTCCGAAGCATTCCGGTGCCTTGGCGAGTTCACCCTAAACCCAGTCGTGAAACCCTAAACCCCACTCACGTCTTCGGCACTCCTGGACCCTAAACTCCATGACCCCTCTGCATCTCAAGCCCTATAACCTTTAAACCCCGAGCCCGAAGATGGCCTAAACCCTACCACACCCTACTGATTTGGGAGTTTCCGAAAATTAGGGGTACCTTATTTTGGGGTCCTTATAATAGGGATCCTACTATTTAGGGTACTATATTAGGGTCCCCTATAATGGGAAACTCCCATTTCTGACTGAACCCTAAAGCCTTGTTGGCTCGGCTCTATGGTTTAGGGTCTAGGGCGCTCAGGCAACACCGACGGCCCAGAGGAGCCTCCACCCGATGCTTCTCATCTGCAGCCGGGGAGGAAAAGTTTAGGGATGCATTGTTTTACATGGCCTGTGCTACGGTTTAGGCTCCGTGCTCTGCGTGTTTGTAACGGTTTTGTTAGAGTTGGCTTTTCGTGTTCAGGGTTTTAGGTGAGGGCTCAGGGTTGCCAGGGCTTCGGATCCAGGTAGAGCTATCGCGCTGATACAATTCCAGGGCGGAGAGATTCAAGGGCTGAGAGACTACATGCTATGAGGTTTAGGTCTTGAGATTTGGGATTGGGCTGGCTTCGGCTGATTTCCCAATTACAAAGACTTCATAACGAATCTCGAACATCAGGGATTGCGAGTCTGATAGCTGGGACGCCAACAGCGCCCAAAACCCAGCCCTAGACCCAACCTCCCCTGCTGAACTCCTGGACCCTCACCTGCGGCGGCATGCCGCAACGCCAGCGCTCCCCATCTTTGCGCCTGAGCTCAAAAAGCTCCACAGGTGGGACGAAAGTAGGTGGGGTAATCCCAAATACAGTATCCTTCCATGGGGGATCCTTAAACCTACCAGGACCTACCCTCATCCCAGCTATTGAGGCACCCATTAAGTTGCAGATCTTTCGCTCCTCCCACAAGGCACTGCGTTTAGGGGTTGGGCTCGGCTCGGCTTCGGGAACTTTGTGCTGAGCGGTTGGGTTTGAGGACCTTCCGGCTGATTCCCGGCGGCGTTTTCCTCGCATGTCAATGTGTTTCTCGGACAGTATCATCATGCTGCTCCTGCCGTGCTCAGAGGTCTGAAGTTCATGAAGTTGAAAGCCGTGTGATGCTCCAGACAAGCCAAATGAGACATGCAGCACTACAAGCATCCAGAGATAGAAGATCTGCTAGGAAAATAGAACCTACCAAGGGCGTCCTGAATCAGCACCGCAGAAGCTGGATCCATTAAACCCGAAGCCAGCAACCCTAAACCGAAGCCCTTCCAGACAGTAATCAAAGGCACGTCATAAATAGAACTGGATTTGCGGACACAGCACACTGTATTTGTAATAAGGAGCCCTATGGAATAATATAGAATCATATTGGGAAGTACCCTGCACCCAAAAGCCATGATTATTGAGGCTTCTATAGTCCAGGGGGAACAGGAGAGACCCTTCATCAGGACCCCTAGGTAATATACCCTTAATATGGTAGGGGTCCCCATTAAGGGCCCCTCCTGTTCCCCTTTGATATAGATGCCAGGGCAAGGAGCAGGTGAATCGCTGGAAGCCAGCTGCGCCAAGTCCGGCAGTCCCCCCTGACCTGGGCTTAAGAAGGGCTCTTCTCATAGGGACCCTTAGGGGCGGTAGGGGGAGGGGGGGTAGGGGGCCCCCCTTAATACCCATAACAAAGACCGAATAAGGCATATTTAAGGAAGTATACTCCCCTACCCCCCTAACCCGTTACCTGCTTAAGGGTCCTTATGACTTAGCAAGGGCTCTTCGGGTCTGGCTACGGTTAACGTGTTTTGGGGCAGCAGATCGCAGATCAGCGACACATCGCAACAAGCATGCTTTGCGGACTTTCGTGGCCATGTGCTGACTTTTTTTCTCGGTACTCGTGCATCAGAGGCACAAAGCTTTAAGACTGATTAACCCCGGACTCTACCCCACCAAGAACCCCAAACCTCAAACTAAAGCGCTTGCAGAACCTTTCTAGAACTTGTGTAGAACCCTTACAGAATCCCTATATCTTCAACCTGCTTTTTGCAGAAGCCCTATCGAAACCCATACTGGGGTTTCCGAAAATACGGTACCCCAATGAAGTACCCAAAGTAGTAGGATCCTTATAATAAGGACCCCAAGATGAGGTACCCCAATTGTCGGAAATGCCCATAGTATTTCTTGAAGCTGCTTTTCAAGGGGCCGGCGATCACCTGCACTCCGAGAGGATGAGCCGCCAGAGATGCCAGGGCTTTCGCTGCCTTATGTGCACTGAAAGATCCTCCTTAAACGGCTCTATAACCCAGAGACTCCAATCTCCCTTAATTAAGGAATATACCTTATATTATAGTAGGATCCCTAATATGATTTAGGGCAT